TTGTGCTTTCGCGAGAGTCACGGCCGTGCCTCTTGGAAACAAAAAAAACACGTTTTCTGTTTTTTTTCTTTTGTGAGAGGCACGGTTTGGCTTCCGCGAGAGGCACCGTTGTGCTTTTGCGAGAGTCATGGTCGTGCCTCCTCGGAAATGAAAAAAAAACACATTTTCAGTTTTTCTTTCTTTCGCGAGAGGTACGGTTTTGCTTCCGCGAGAGGCACGTTCAGGAGATCAATGGAGACCATCTCTAGGTACTTCAAGCAAGTGCTTTTTGCTATTGGGGAGCTTAGAGGAGAGATGATCAGGAGACCATCTGGTCAGACTCCACCCAAGATTCGCGGAAGCCCAAGATGGTATCCATACTTCAAGGTGAGCATTCACAATATACACTTTTCATGTCTTGATATGCTTGTATTGTTCAAGTTGAGCACTAACACAAGCTTGTGATGCCATTTCCAGGACTGCATTAGGGCAATAGATGGTACTCATGTCACTACTAGAGTTCCTAGGTCACAATCTGCAGCATACAGGGGGAGGAAGCACTACACAAGCAAGAATGTGCTTGCTGCTGTTGACTTTGATCTGAAGTTCACATATGTGCTGGCTGGCTGGGAGGGGTCAGCGCATGATGCAAACATTCTCCCTGACAGCATGAGCCGACCTGATGGGATCAACATCCCCGACGGCAAGTTCTGCCTTGGAGATGCTGGCTATGCATGCCGGCCGGGTATTCTTCCACCCTTCAGGAAAACAAAGGTACCATCTCAACGAGTTCTCTGGTAGGAACTTTTCCTAGGACTGCACAGGAGCTGTTTAATCTCAGACACTCCAGCCTTAGAGTAACTGTTGAGAGGGCATTTAGAACTCTGAAGAATAGGTCTAAGGTCTTGGATCAGAAGCCATTTCACCCATACTCCACTCAAGTTAAGCTAGTTCTTGCTTGTTGCATTCTGCGCAACTGGATCCTCCAGTGGGGCTTTGATGAACACGTGCCTGAGGAGGAAGAGGTCGAGCCTGACGATGTTGTTAGCTCTGGCCATGGTGTGGAGGCATTTGACAATGACGCTTGGAAGAACAAAAGGTTGGAGTGGGCAGAGGCAATGTGGCTTAACAGAGGTCAGTGCAGGATTTGAAGAAGAGGAAGAAGAAACAGCAGCAGCAGAAGCACAGAAGAAGAGGAAGAAGAAGAAGAAGCAGCAGCAACAGCAGCAGAAGCAGAAGAGGAAGATGAAGTAGCAACACCGATGTACTATCCCCTATTTAGCCAATGGCTCTTAATAATTTGAACTGTCATTTGATTGTGGTTAGGATGAACTGTCATTTGTATAACTAGCTGGCTTTATGTTCAGATTGTGTGTGTGGTAAGGTCACCACTAGTTAGAAGTGGTGACAACACCTTATGCAGGTTGCAATCAAACACCATGTCATATGTGCACCTAATACAATGCAGGCAACCAAACGCTGGGTCAAAAATGGTTGTCTCATGCAACTAGGGGCATGCAGGCAACCAAACTATGTGCATCTAGGGTTTTTTGGCCTGCAACCCCTCAAACCGGCTCAATAGAGCCAGGCTCGCCGGGCCAGGCTGAGTCGGCAATGTAACCAAACACGCCCTAGGGCTCAGGAGTCAGATGCGACTCTGTTTGCATCCCTATCGCCATCGACGAAAGCCGAGCCGATGCTATAGAAGGGGTCATGGTTGAGCTTGCGTCCCAGATTTGAGCAGTGGTGGGGCTCCGAGTACAAAATAGAGGCCACCTGCAGCGTCGCACGCCACCGAGGCCACAACGTAGGCTGCCGAACCTCACGGCTGCCGTCCACTAGCCGCCGGCGCCGCCAAAGACTCTGGCCGCTTGCCTCCGAAACCGCTCATCGCCCGACTATCGACGAGCACCGCCGGTGACTTGCCGCCGAGCAGCCCCCGTCACCGCGCCGCCTTTCACCTCGTGCTCTTCACCGTCGAGAACAGAGTTCTTTCCAAAACATGAAACCGTTCTAATCCGATTAGAAAATCACGGGAACGTGAGCTTAGCTAATCTCCTTAACGGTTAGCAAATAAAATTACCTCGATATCAAGGTAATTTTACAACGTAATGTGGGACCAGTAAATTTACCTCGAGAAGGACAAATCTTACTACACAGCGGCTAGTGGGACGGGATGCGATTGGAGACAACACAATTCTCCGGCTCGATCGTTCGACCGGGGTGAAGAATAATTCTTCACCCTACACACACACACACACACACACACACACACACACACACACACACACATTATACTTGTTTTTTCTTGAAAAACATGTTTTGCCGGGCTTCGGGCCAGGCCATGGGCAAGAAAGTGAGGCCTGAACCTGGCCCATATGTTGGGCTTCAGGTCGGGCTGCTCGGCCCGGGCCACATATGCCCAGGTCTACTTGGTAGTTAGCTCGCTTGTTCATGTGGCGTTACAACGAGTGGAATTAGCCCCAATTGTGCCGGTTACATATATCCTGTGCACGGCGCGGATCTCTCCCCTTCGATCAATTTTCTACTGGGTGGCCCATAGGTATTCGGCCACATTTCGGTTGCTTGTTTCATGACTAGAAGCTTCCTCGCTAGTTTCGGGAACCTTTTGGAATCTTCCAACTTTTTTTATAGTATTTTGGTTTTCTCGATGGTTGTTGTTCAGTTTTATTATGTTTTTATTCTATTTTTAAAAAAAAAATCATGATTTTTTAAATCCATGATCTTTTTTAAAATTCATGATTTTTTTTCAAATTCGTGATTTTTTCCCAAATCTTGTGTACTTTTTGTCTCAAATTCAAGAACTTTTTTCAATTTCAATATTTTTAAATTTCATGGATTTTTTTCAAATGCTGTGAACCTTTTTCAATGTTGACTTTTTTCTATAAATTCATGAAGTTTTTATGAATTGGTGAACTTTTCATTCTTTTGGATTTTTGTATCTCAAATTCTTTAATTGTTCCCTGAATGACGTGATTTTTTTTATTTTGTGAACTATTTTTAAATTCATGTTTTTTTTCACATTTATTGAACTTTTTTTGAAATTCATTGGCATTTTTCAAACTAGTCTATGACAAACTAATCAATGGCCAGAAGTCAGACTAGTCAATGGTCGGAGGTCAAACTAGCCACCTAAATGTAAGACATTTTGGCAGTTCAATATAAACTACCAAAACGTCTTATATTTAAAAACAGAGGTAGTATATTAGAGGTTAGCAGCTTGCGTTTTTTGGGCAAAGCAGCCTGCAGTTCGTGAAGCCAGGCAAGCGCGGTGACCAATTTTTTTCTATTTTCCAATTTTTTTGAGTTGATACAACGCTTTTTATTTAGACATCAAGAGTTTGTTGGATACAAAGATTATTGGGAGAAGTAGAGAGCCAAACATGAAGTCCCACTTCCAGACTAACAGTCTACGAGAGTTAATCTCTCTCACTATCATATAATACTCATCGAGTTGCAATGTTGCCTTGAGCTCGTTAATAACTCTCTGACAGTCTGTCGCGATATGTATTTTGCATAGTGCCAAATCCTGCGCCAATGCTTGAGCCTCTCTGTATGCATATGCTTCCAATGTTTCAGGTCCTGTTATTCCTTAAAAAACTACCGTCGTAGCTCCAAGACACGTCCCATGTTCATCTCTGCAAACCACTCCCACTGCTCCCTTGTTCATGTTCTTGGCCACTGCCGCATCATCGTTCAATCTCGTATGTCCCGAAAGAGGTGTCCTCCAAGCTTGTGGGACTCGGGTTGTAGCTGAAAGGTTTCTCCTGCATGGACCGGGGTTGTCGACTCCAACTAGGATCTCTCTCTCTCTCTCTCTCTCTCTCTCTCAGTGGATTTTTTTTTAGAATTCTTTTTTAGTGGATTTAGGACCTCTCTTTGCAGCGACTAGGACAGACTAGAAAAGGAAAATCTGTCGCGGACTGCGTGTGTCTATTAGGGCCCAGGTCACATAGTGTCGGCCCATGGGCTATGGCCATCCCGACACGGATCCTAATACCGACCTGAAGAAGGCAAGTCCCTCAAAAAAAAAAAAGACCTGAAGAAGGCAAGGCTAGGGTTGCTGATGCCCTTATATACATCGAGATGCCGCCGCACCCCCTTCTCAACCCAATCACGCGACCAATCGCAGCGAGGCAGATTACCATCAGCGAGGCGAGGCGAGTCGATTAGCAGCTGATCAAGATCACAAGGCGCCGCCGATGGCCGGCAAGGATGATTCCGCCACCAATCCCGTGCTGGGAAGGAACAGCACAGGTCAGAAGATGGTGACCGGCGAGGAGGGTTCCACCAACCGCACGCTGGATCTATGCACTGGGGAGCGGAGCCGGGGCACCGACGGGGAGGGCACGCTGGAGCGCTGCACCACCGAACCTATCGTGGTGACCGGCGAGCACACTATTCTCAAAAGGAAGGCCAAGGAGGAGATGTACCCTTCTCCTGAGCAGGAAAAGGTCAGCTTTCCCAACCCATTCGCTAGGAAGTCAGCCATCGACGAAATGGTCGCCACGGCAAAACTCCCGATGCGAGCTGATGTTACTGTGGCCGCCCCTATCCAGCAAGTCCCGCGGCAGGAAGGGACCAAGACCACCGAACCTATGATGGTCGACCCCTTCCTCGGACAGGAGATTGTTAAGGTGGTTTCTGATATTCAGGCTGATCCTGAGATCGGGGAGGCGGTTTCTGATCTTCAGGCTGAGTTTGAGATCGAGGAGGCGGATTCTGATCCTCAGCCTGAGGACCAGGATGGTTACGATGATGAGGCAGAGGATGATTATGGTTATGAGGATGAGGATGAGGATGATTATGACTACGAGTCTGGATATGAGGATGAGGATGACTGGGAGTCTGAATTTTTGGAGCAAAGGCCGAAGGTCAAGGCTGTGTTGTTAAACTTTCCTGAGGCTGCAAAGTTGGAACCTCATGAGCTGGACGCCGCAGTGGAGAGGATCCTGGAGCAGTCCAAGCCTGAGAACGCCTCTGTGGCTGCCTCGGGCAAGGTTCGGCTGTTGAGTGCAGACATCCAAGCAATCTTGGCCCGGAATAGGCAGCCCCCCATCATCCATGACCTCGCTTCCAAGGGCACATTATACCCGGCTGATTTGATCCGGAGAAGGGAAGAGCTGGACAAGGAATTTGAGAAGGTTCAAGATGATTTTGAAGAGTTTCAGGCTAAGGTGCGCACGGATTTGATCGAGAAGGGGTACACCGAGGTCAATGAGGACTACTATGATAACAGGGACAAATTCGACGACGGGTTGCAGGACCGGTTGCAGGAAGAGTGGAACAAGATTGACTTTAGTCGCTTTTATATTGCCAAAAACGACAAGGGGATTGCCTATTATTCCGAAGAACATGGGTGTTACATATAATGCCGGGCGAGGTGCAGATTTCTTCCAATATTATGTCTATCCATCTATACAACTTTGTATGCAACAAAGTTAGTTTGTGGGTTGGTTCATTGTGCCCATCTATGTTTTATACTATGATCCATTGTCACATCCCTGGTCCTGTTATGCACTAGGCTAGACCTCATGTGAGCATCATGTTTAAATTTTTGAAACCTGAACTGAGGAATTTTGGAAGCCTCAAAAACTTAAATAAAAGAAGGGCAAAAACCCTAAAAATCTCATTCATTGCTCCAAAATGCTCTTCTTAAATGTTTGATAATTTTTGGTAAGGGTTCTGGTCCCAACCAAAATATTGAACATTTTTAAGGAATTATTTTTGGGACTTTGGATTTAATTTATTAGCTATTTGAATTTGAATTATATTCATATAATTAGAATATAATTTCAAATACCCCTGAAATATTTTATAAGCTTTTGGAAGAGTCCATCTAGCAATATAAAATATTCAGAGGAGTTTTTGGCATTGTTTGAATTATTTTAAATTCAAAACAGTGGCAAAATAAATTAAATAAAACAAAACACAAAAATAAAAGACAGAGGAGAAAACCTTACCTGGACTTACCTCTGCAGCCCCCCAACCCCACCTGGACAGCCCAACACTGTGCAGCCCAACCACCAGGGGGCATGCCTGTCTTCCTCCCGTGCCAGCGCACGAAGCAGCTCGGTGGCGAGCACCGCCACCGCGCTTGGCCACCTCCTGCCTGGTTGCCTCCCTCCTCGATGCCCGGAGACGCCACGCGCCTCCCCGACCCCCCCTCTCACTTCCCCTCTCCCTCTGGATCGCTACCCCTCCTCTGGCTCCCTCTTCCCCTCTCTTCCCTGTGAGCCCCGAGAGCACGCCGTCGCCGTAGCCGTGGCCATAGGCCACCACCCGCCCAACCAGCACGGCGAAGAGCTCCACCACGACGCCGTGGAGCTACACACTGACGCATGCGACCAGGGGAGCCCTGCAACGTCATTCCCGGCCTCATCTTCAACCTCCGGCCGCCGGTGACTTCGCGGTCGATTCGCGGGCTCCAGCACTTCCCCGACCTCGTCGTCGACTCTGCTAGTCCCTACGTGAGCCACTCTCCATTTTCCCCCTGGATCCCCGTCGTTCCCCTCCCCTAGCTAGCTTCCCCACCTCCGCCGAGGCTCGCCGCCGCCATGGTCAACGAGCTCCACGCTCGTGAGCTCGGCCGCTCGCCCGAGCATCACCAGCGTGCTCACCGCGCTCCTGCGAACCCGAAACACCCACGGGTGCTCCCTGCCATGCCCTATAGCGCCATCTCCGCGGTTTCCCGAACTCCGGCCGCCGCCTTTGAGCTCGCCGCCGTCGATATAGGCCGCCCCCGGCATAACTGACCGCACCACTCGACGCGCGGGATCTTCAGCGTCACGTAGCTGCCCTCCGCCAGCCATTTGGTCGCCGGAGGAGGAATTCCGACCCCCTCCGCCGTCTCGGGCTTCACCGGCGACAAACCGTGGACCAAGTCCGGCGAGTTTGACCCCAGTTGGACGCCCCGACTCAATGACAGGTGGGCCCAGCCCTGTTAGCTAATTAGGATTAGCACTAATTGAATTAGTTAAACTAATTACCCCCCCTGCTGACACTGACAGTGGGCCCCACCCCTGGTCAAACCCCAGTCAGCGCTGGGTTTGACCGGGATTAGTTCCTGTGTCACTGACGTGTGGCCCCCACACGTCAGGTTTGACCTGGACCCGCCCTGTTGACCTGATGACGTCAGGGTGAGGTCATGCTGACGCAATATTCATTTTCTGGAATTTAGTTTATTTTATTAATATTCAGGAAATTCCAGAAAATAGCTAAAACTTCAATAAATCATAGAGAATTAACCATAACTCCAAATTAAATGTTTTATATATGAAAAATTATCAGAAAAATTCAAGGAATCCATCTGTACCATTTTCATGCATGTTTGAACAATGTTTGTCCTCTGTTTTGGACAAAACAAATAAAGGGCATTTAAATAACCATATATGGAGTTTGAATTTGAATCTTGTATTCAAACCAACTTCATTTAATCTGTTGCTAGTTGCATTAGCCCAAAACACATTCATATTGCCATGTCATGAGCATGCATCATATTGTGCATTGCATTGATTGTGTTCCCTTCTGTGTTGCCGGTAATTGTCCCCTCTCGATAGACGTGATACCGACGATGTGATCGTTGACACTGATGAAGACTCAACGTTATCTTCAGAAGTGCCAGGCAAGCAAAACCCCCTTGTTCATTCCGATACAATCCCACTCTCTCGCTCCTGCTCTCTTTTACTGCATTAGGACAACAGCGATTCAACTGTTATTTGCTGCGGTAGCTGAACCCCTTTATCCTTTGCATGACCTGTCATTCCACAGTAAATAGATGAAAACCACTAGCATGAGTAGGAGTTGTTTGAGCCCTGTTGTGCCTACTCATTCATGCTTGTTTGTCATGCCTGCTACTGCTTAGAGTTGAGTCAGGTCCGATTCATCGGGGATGAATCAGAGGCGTGTGAACATGTCCTACTGTGTGAGAGTTAAGTGTGTGAACACGATTTGGTAAAGGTAGCGGTGAGAGGCCATGTAGGAGTACATGGTGGGTTGTCTCGCTGGAACCGTCCTTAAGCACTGAGTTCTATGTATGTTGTCCAATGACTCGATACTACCACACATTGGGATCCTTAATTGACTCTCTCGGCTTATTAACCAACTTGATCTCTGTCCAGGAGTCGCAACTAGTTTCTGGTGTTTGTAGGTAGTGCTATTTTTCTACCAAGTGGCACCCGGCAGGGTGGGCTTGGGACAGACTAGGCACACGTGGCCCGGTGTACCGAGTGGCACCCGGTTGGTGGGCTCGGGAACCCTGCTCACATCGTTTGGGGCCGTGAGCGACACCCCGGCCGGATCTCCTTGCGGATGGAACCCGAATAGGCGATAAACCTGGACTAGAGACTTGTTCGGTTAGTCAGGTCGTGGCCGACTCCCTCGCCCGGCTTCCGCTTGAAGGTTGCCGAGGTACATGACGTGTACAGGGCGGTAAGTGGCGAGAGCGTGTGTGAAGAAGTACACCCCTGTAGGGTTATCATTATCTATTCGAATAGCCGGATTCCTCGGATATGGAAACTTGGACCCCTTGCATAGTTCATAGACAAGAGAAAGTGGACACTCTAAAATACGCAAGATAAGCGTGAGTGCTATGGATGGCGTTCTCGTAGGGAGACGGGAGCGGATCCATAGTGGTGTATTGATATGGTGAATATGTGGACTCGTGTGCGCCACCTCAAAAGAGTTACTCGCAGTCGTAGTTTAGGATAGCCACCGAGTCAAAGCTGGCTTGCTGCAGTTAAACCCCACCACCCCTTTGTTGATAATGATGCATATGTAGTTAGTTCTGATGTAAGTCTTGCTGGGTACATTTGTACTCACGTTTGCCTATTTTATGTTTTTGCAGAGAGACTTCGGTCTCGCTAGTAGTTCCGCGTGGACTTCGACGTTTAGCTTGTTACCTCAGCTACGATCTTGTGCCCTCGGCAGGATCTGATAGATAGTCAGGCTTCTCAGCCTTTTTCATTTATAGATGTCTGTACTCAGACATGATAGCTTCCGCTTGTGCTTTGACTTGTATGCTCTGAATGTTGGGTCGTGAGACCCCTGTTTGTAATATCTCGCTCCTCGGAGCCTATTGAATAACTACTTGAGTCGTAGAGTCATTTTGTGATGCCATGTTGTATTGCACATATCGAGCATATTGTGTGTATGTTATTGAAATGCTCGGTATGTGTGGGATCTGACTATCTAGTTGTTTATCTTTAGTAGCCTCTCTTACCGGGAAATGTCTCCTAGTGTTTCCACCGAGCCATGGTAGCTTGCTACTGCTCCGGAACACTTAGGCTGGCCGGCATGTGTCCTTCTTCGTTCCTGTGTCTGTCCCTTCGGGGAAATGTCACGCGATGAATACCAGAGTCCTGTTAGCCCGCTACAGCCCGGTTCACCGGAGTCCTGCTAGCCCAGTGCTACAGCCTGGATTCACTCGCTGATGACCGACACGTTCGATGTTGGGTCATGAATGCCTGTCCCTGTAAGTTTGTGCCACTTTGGGTTTACGGCTAGCCATGTCAGCCCGGGCTCCTTATCATATGGATGCTAGCGACACTGTCATATACGTGTGCCAAAAGGCGCAAACGGTCCCGGGTAAAGGTAAGGCGACACCCGTGGGAATACCGTGCGTGAGGCCGCAAAGTGATATGAGGTGTTACATGCTAGATCGATGTGGCATTGAGTCGGGGTCCTGACAGCGTTGGTATCAGAGCTTGACTGCCTGTAGGATTACCAAGCCAAACTGGTCGAAGTTGAGTCTAGAAATTCTTTAGTTATATAAGGGAATTGATTGTGGGATGGAACGTAAGGCTCTTTTTACTCCTTATACCTCATGCCTTTTGATCTGAGTCATCATCTTCTCTACTACGGGGATTAAGAACTAGGCTATCTCTTCTTTCTATTAGGATCACGTGTTACTAATCAGTGGACTTATAAGATTGTTGGATTTAAGTTTCAGTTCAGTTCCTACTACTTCCGTATGTTAATTGTTGATCTTGAAACCTTGATATTGTGCTTCTGAGTGGTTATGCCACCATTTTGTAGTATGTCTCAAATCTTTTCTGAGCATTTACAGCCGTTATGCTGTCCGAGTCAACCCAGGTTTCTAAATAATCTAATGCATTTGCAAAATCCTTTCCCTCTGGTTTCGATGTTCCTTTATGCCAGCTCAATCACACTAATTGTTGAGTTGAGGTATTCTATTGCCTTGGCCTTTATTTTGGAATTATTATTATGACCCTATGTGTCTCAGGGGATCATCTAGTGGTCTAGCCATGATTTGTGTCCTAGTGTGATGATCCTGGCCTTTATTCTCGAAAGCATTCCGTGATGCTACTTAGGAGTAGGTATTCTACTCCTGGGTTTTGAACCCGAGATTCAC